TTGGCCACATAGTTTCCTGGAACAGCGCTGAGCCTAAATGTATGCCTCCTCACTGTATGCTTATTTAAAATGTGTTGCAGTACGATCTGACATGCCCCTGGATGGCCTGTCAACATCTAGTGTCAGTACTTGCCCACCCTGGGCAGACCGGCTCATATTTTATCAAAATAGCAACACCCAGGGTAGGTGTCTACTCTGATTCTATGCCAAGCTCCTAATCCATTCCCATAGTGACCCATAACAGGACTGGAAATGGAGGCCAAAAGAGGTTGTTTTACTCATCATTATGTCTTATCCTTATTTTGAGGACCAGTCTGCTATTCTTACTTTTATGCGCTTTAGTCCTCTGTCAGACTCGCAGGCTAACAGCCATTCCTAACCGTGCCTTGGCCTCTGGATCTTGATCCAACTTTAATATGTACCAAGCCACAACCTGTCCACAAGTTTGTGCCTAATATGACTTTATCTTGATTTTAGGTCATTAACCACCATTCATTCTAAACTGTACTTACCATGCCAGCCCAAACGTAACAGGTTACCTTTATTAGACAGACTTGGTCTAACCTTAACGAGAGTCCTGGTCCACAACTTGGCCCAAATACTAGACGCGAGTTTGAGTTTTAAAACTGGACCACGTGATAGCCTCGAACTCCCTAAGAGGTCCCAACGGTGATTCATCTCCTAAATTAACCCCTCATCTAACCAGATCTCATTTTAACAAGACTGAACTACCTATGATCCTACCTTTGGCAGAGAATCTGGTCATTGGGGTGGAGCTGAGGGCCAGGGGTGCCACAGCAGGTCAGGCCTACGCGATGGTCATCCTGCTTTGCCTAAGGGAACCGAATGTCCAAGAGGAGGAACAGTACAGAACGTAAGCACTGGGCTTGCACCCAGGTGTCTCTGCCAAGGCAGCAAGCCCTGTCAGACTCCGTGTATCAGGTACCACAAAGCCGCAAGCCTCAACAAACAAGGAAGAAAAGCAGCGTTTGCATGGGGAAGAAATGACCCACTTCGTCCAGAGACAGAAAAGGAAATGGATGTTTCAAAATCACTGTAAATGTCATGTTACCCTGGCAAGAAAAGCTTCATCAAAATGACAATTTGTTTAAGGGTGGTAAACATTTATGAGAGAAATGGTTAAGCTTTGGTTTTTTTTTTTCCTATGTGAGTGCTATTCCTTTTGGAAGATGGATGACAAATTAGTATAAAGGTGTCTTTTAATTGATGATATGTAAGGCCTGTTTAGTCCTTAGAGGACTTTCAGCTGCTTTATATTAGTAGCTTAAAACAACAGAAATTGTAGTGAAAATTGAAAGTGGCTACAACACAATGCTACCCAGAAATGTCACTCCCTATTTCCCAAGGTGCTTCTTAACATGTGTTTGGCAGAAATGTCCTGCCTGTGTTCCATCTTCCCATTTCTGGATGTGCCAGATGAACTGAGGACTGCAATTTGACTATAGGGGAATGGGTTTGTCTGTACCCTAGCCCTGCATTTGTATAGTGTGTCAGATTGTATGCAGAGCAGTCACTTAAATTTACAATTCAGTAACTGAGAACAGAAAGGATCATTAATAGTTATTTCCTTCATCCCTGTTGTTTTCTTTACTCCTAAGTATTGATCATATGGATTGCTTTTTTTAATGTGAATTGTCTTTTGGTAGGGATGAAAAAAAGTATTTTTAAATGTGTGAGGCCCTTGATCTTTAAACAGAAAAGTCTGGGTTCTTGGTCAATGTTCATGAAGTTCTATATTCTTATTTTATCAGTGAGAAATTTCATAGACATTCATCATGTGGGCAGTAATATTTGTGGGATTAGAGCAATGATTAGGTAAAAGTAGCAAAATCAAATATGTAAGATCACATCCTGTTCCATTTGCTAAATTATTTTCTTTGATATCAGTAGGAGCAGAAATTCACCCCGGGCGCCTACACTGATGATTCACACTCTCAGAGGTCAAATTTACTACTTCTGTAAATTTATATACTGGTTTTGGCTGGGATGGAGTTAATTTTCTTCATAGTAGCTTGTATGGTGCTGTGTTTTGGATTTGTGATGAAAACAGTGTTGATAACACCCCCCTGGTTTAGCTATTGCTCAGCAGTGCTTCCACAGCCTTGACCTTCTCTGTGAATAGGCTGGGGGGGCACAAGAAGCTGGGAGGGGGCACAGCCGGGACAGCTGATCCCAACTGACCAAAGGGATATCCCATGCCATATGACATTGTGCTCAGCAATAAAAAGGGGAAAAAAAGGAGGAAGGGGGGACAATTGGAGTTACGGTGTTTGTCTTCCCAATGCTTTGGGAATGGAGCCCTTGGGAATGTCATGCTTTGTTCAGCATGATGAAGCCCTGCTTTCCTGGAAGTGGCTGAACACCTGCCTGCCAATGGAAAGTACTGAATGCCTGATTTTGCTTTGTTTGTGCACGCAGCTTTGCTTTACCTATTCCCCCCACTGCGGGCGGGAGTGAGTGAGCAGCTGGGTGGGGCTGAGCTGCCTACTGGGGTTAACCCACGGCAGTGCTTTTTGGCACCCAGTGCAGGGCCAGAGGGGTTTGAGATAACAACAGGTTTGATTGGAATGTGTGAGACCCGATTTATGGCTGTTACAGCTGTTCAGCTCTTAATTGGCAAGCTCCTGCACTTGCCACGGGACTTGCTTGCTTTGCTGTGTATTAGAGTCTAGTGATTGTTAGTGGCTGCTATTTGCTGTCCTGCTTATCATCTTACTTTGCTGTGCCTGGGAACATTTTGATGACAGCACTGGCCACGTGCCTCGGCTGGCATATGGCCAGGGCATTGCTGCTGTTCCTGTACTGCCGTAGCAGGCATGCTGTAACTACAGTCTGAACTCTAGTTGAAGGGACTGTGACCGTGACCTGTGAGTAACTCTGTGCTGGAGCAGATACACCCCAAAGCATCTGTGTCTGTGGATAGGTCCACAGTGGAGCAGGTACACCCCTGAATCATAGAATCATAGAATCGTTAAGGTTGACCCTTAAGATCATCGAGTCCAACCGTTAACCTAGCACTGCCAAGTCCAACACTAAACCATGTCCCTAAGCACTACATCTACACATCTTTTAAATACCTCCAGGGATGGGAACTCAACTACTTCCCTGGGCAGCCTGTTCCAGTGCTTGACAACATTTTAGGTGAAGAAATTTTTCCTAATATCCAATCTAAACCTCCCCTGGCACAACTTGAGGCCATTTCCTCTTGTCCTGTCACTTGTTACTCGGGAGAAGAGACCAACCCCCACCTCACTACAACCTCCTTTCAGGCAGTTGTAGAGAGCAGTAAGGTCTCCCCTCAGCCTCCTCTTCTCCAGACTAAACAACCCCAGCTCCCTCAGCTTCTCCTCATAAGACTTGTGCTCTAGACCCTTCACCAGCTTCGTTGCCCTTCTTTGGTCACACTCCAGCACCTCGATGTCCTTCTTGTAGTGAGGGGCCCAAAACTGAACACAGGATTTGAAGTGTGGCCTCACCAGTGCACAGCGACAATCACTTCCGTGGTCCTGCTGGCCACACAGTTTCTGATACAAGCCAGGATGCCATTGGCCTTCTTGGCCACGTGTGCACGCTTTTGGCTCATATTCAGCTGGCTGTCGACCAACAGGCCCAGATCCTTTTCCACCCGTCAGCCTCCCAGCCAAGGGAAGGGACTGCAGCCTGTGGATAAGTCCATACTGGAGCATGGGCAAGGGAGGAGTTCATTGCAGTATTAAAACTTATAGCCTGTTCAAAGGGACCAGGCGTGGAGATTGCAATGGATATAACTTTAAATTGCTCTAACTAGTTGTTTGAGTTATGTGTTATAGGAAGTACTATAGCAGAAACAGAGGACAAGCCTCGCAAGAAGCCCTGTAAGCGTGACCTCACCTGGATAGGTTTTGGCAGCCAGTAACTCCACACAACACTCTGCCTCTCCTGTCCTGAGCAACCACCGTAACAGATGGAACCCAGGTCATGGAAGAAGAGAACTCAATGGACATTTTATGAACATTTTACAGGGGTGGCCCATAGAGTAAGAGGAGATGTATTGGATAATGTGGGACCTGAGCATGACACGAATGGTATAGAATAAGGGGTAGAGATTGTACTGGTTTGGGCTGGGCTGGAGTTAATTTTCTTCATACCAGCTCATATAGTACTATGTTTTGGATTTGGTTTTATGATTATAAATATTATAAATTTATTTATAATTTATAATTACAGCTCATGCAGTGCTCAACTTTAGATTTAGATCAACATTTGAATGGTTACATTTGCATAGCCCTAGTAGGCTCTGGAAGGTACATTTTCCTAACAAACAACCCTTCTATTAACCACCAAATTGAAAAATAGATTTCAGATTGTACTTAAACAAAACCTTTTTATTTTCTATTGACTTTGATTTCACTGTATGCCATTTGTTTTTAATGAGTACATCTATCACTACTGAAAAAACATGTAAGAAGCTGAAAGAAGTATGTGACAAAGATGGACTGAAACTAAACGGGAGGAATCCTCTGGTGCTCAATAAGGGAAGGGTCCTGAAAACATAGGCGTGACACGGAGCAGGAGTTAAGAAACTGTCTACTGTCATATTGGGTTTGTTTAACATATTTAATACTTTCTCTGAAGATAACAAATACTCTGGATGACAAGCTTTTAACCAAATATTTGAGTACTTGAATTTGTGTCGATTTGGCACTTTATTGCTTAGCAACGTATTACTCTTAATCTCCAGTGAAGAGTTTACGTAATGACATCCTTATCTTGAAACGTGACAGACAGGCAGATAATGCTTTTCAGCCTTTGACCTTTTTCCTGCTTACTTTGGCTTCCTGCAAACCTGTCACTGATGCAAAAGCTAGGATCTCATAAAAAAACCTGTGAACAAAGTACGGACACGCTTGAAGCAGGAGTAGCCTCTCAGCGGCAGCTAACCCAGCTGGGGAGGCTGAGGAGCGCAGCGCACCCCCAGCCGAGAGGCACATCTCGGTAAAATGGAGCTTGAGGATAACATCAGGTATCAAAGCGGACATTTGGATGAGGTGTCTTTAAACCCAAGAGAGTATGTGAAGAAAAAGACCCTCCTGAAATACAAAGCCATCTGTGCTGTAAGTAGGTGCTGTTCTTCAGGGCTGCTAGTTTAACAATTCTCAAATTTGCACGATTTTTAGAAGTTTCATTGTATTAATGTAGTCATTCGAGGTAGCTTGGTAATTGGTGCTTAAAGTTTTACAGTAGGAATGCACTAACTTCTCTGGCAGATTTTTAAAGTTACTCTGGTACTTATCAAGCGAACTTGTGTTTTTCCAGCAGTTAACTGCACTTTTTGTTTTACTACAATAACCCGACACTTCTTTTGCACAGCAAAGACATCGCTTCAAGACTTCACTTTACACATTTGTTTAAAACAGATGTGTTTGTGGCCAAAGTAGCTGCAGTTCCTTTTTGCTTACTTTTTTATCTGTGGAATTGTCCTTAAGAAAACAGGACAAGCAGGAAAGGCGTTGGTGAAAAACACTCAGGAAGCAAGGCATGGGAACAGGCTAATGAACCCTTTCGTGCAGCATTGTCAGCCCCACGTCTCCAGTATCGTGTCAGGTCTTTCCCTCTTCCCCAGGGCTTTAAGAGCCATGCAGCTGGCTTGTAAATAATAATGTGTTGGGGTTTTGTTACGCTTTTTAAATCTTTTGTTGTAGCCAATACACAGTTTTAAGCTTCTGTTGGTGACGGCAAAAGAAACAAACATTAAAAAGATGTATGTGTACGTGTGTGCGCTTGCACAAGCTCTTGCATCTGCAAATTGGAATTTAGGGAAAATGACAGGTACTGATTTTGGAAAGACTCAAAACTGACTTTGAAAACAGCTCTATGAAAAAGAGAGTCAAGTTAGGATGCTGTTCAGCTCTATGTCATCAGAACAATTCCGCATAGTATAACTTCCTATTTAATGCTGCATTGTGCAAGGATTGCATAAAATATTAGGGAAATATTGGAAATTGAGAAAAAAAGAGAAGATAAAAGGACAGACTTTTTTTCTTAAGTCTTCAGTAAAAAGAAATGGGTCATGAGAAACAATGTGGGAAAAATGCCTAACTATGAAGGAAAGTAAATTATACTTTCAAAAGGTACTTGGAAGAGTAAAGTGAGAAATTTAAGTATCTTAAAACATTCATTCTTCCAAGTGCACTAGTTTTCAAATGCCTGCCTATTTAAAAAAAAAGAAAATCTAAGTATTGGAAGTGTAAACTGTTAATACTCTACACCATTTATCGATGTTTTGGTAAACTATATGTATGAAGGACTTTCTTGGCAACTTTTTCCTGAAAGCTTAGGCAGAGATTTGTGTACTCACAAATAGCAGTCGCACTGTCTAATAAGTTCTCCAGGGAACAGAGCATATGCGTTAGGAACAACTTTTTTATAAATAAGCAGCTGTAGTCCTGAATTTAGACATAGAAGTTAGCTGTGGAAAGTCTGAGGATTTGAATAGGTGCTACAAATGTTATTTCACCTTAAGGGTGAATGTCCCAAAATCAAGGGTCTTTGTGTAAATGCCATAATAAATGCAGCATCTCATCTGTATACCTGCTATGAGTTTTTGTTTTTTACTTCAGCTCTCTCATTGCTTCCAGCAGTGGGAATGCTTGCTGCTGTAATAGCTGTACTTCCAATTTAGTATCATCTATTTATTTCATTTGCAAATGTGAGTTTTAATGAAAATGGAGGGTAAAACCATAGTGAACTTTAAGGTGAGGAGTGCATGCCCTGGTGACTGGGCTGGTCTGTACTAAGGGAAACAAGACCTGTTAGGTTACCCTGGCACTATTATCCTCCCTGCCCACAAAGAGTGGCTGCTGTTCCAGCCCAAATGCACCCCCTGATTCTCAGTCCTTGCTGACTGGATGTAGGATTAAACTGCTGCCTTCGCTCCTGGGCTCTCTCTTCAAGAGACTTCAGCATTTCTGCCACTTTGGGCAATCTTTCCAAACACGCTTATCCCATCTGTCCCTCTTACCCAGTTCTCTCACCAATTCCATTTCCGTTCCTACTTTTGGGGTATTTCTCCTGTACAAAACACAGGGAGTGAGCAGCAGGAAGGAAGGAAAGATGGGAGAGAGAAAGTGTGAAGGAAGTCACTTTGGCGTTGCTGGTGTTTGGTGTTGCTTGGGAAAGAG